TGTAAATTGTCATATCCCATATATTGAGATGAATATGAAGAAGACCCAGACGATGTACCCCATGAAATCCAGAACTATGCAGATGAGATTTATACTTATGGCTGATTACCTCTGCCCCCTCCCAATTCTGTTACTACTCTCCCCCACTCTCCCCCAGGCAAGAACTATTACAATTAGATGTGCATTACTTACCAGAAATGCTTGATATTAAGTATAATCAAAGAAGTTGTAATGTAAATGTATCTCAAAAGTAAAGTTAGACTGTATTTATAGAGAATGAATCATCGACTTTGATAAGGGCGACGCCCACTTTTGATCAATTGAGTAATCCTATGGTCTTTATACTTAACAATCATGCAGAATTATAATATCCTATATATTGAGATGAATGTGAAGAAGACCCAGACGATGTACCCCATGAAATCCAGAACTATGTAGATGAGATTTATACTTAAGGGTGATTAGCTCTTCCCTCTTTCAATTCTGTTACCCCCCCCCCCATCTACCCCCTCCCCCATGCAATAAGTATAACACCTAGATGTACATTATTTAGCAAAAATGCTTGATATGAAGTATAACCAAAGAACATCATTATAAATGTATCTCAAAAGTCAACTAAAATTCTGTATTTATAGAGAATGGCAATCATCTACTACTATAAGGGCGACGCCCACTTTTGATCCCTAATGTAATTGTATGGTCTTTGACACTTACCAGTTATGTTAATTGCAATATCCTTTATATTTAAATAAATGTTTGAACTGCCCTGGTAATTTTGAGAATGCTAAAATGATCTGATATCTGTTGATTTGAAAAAAAATCCACATTCTATATTAGGTGCAGGTACAGGTTTTACCAAAATTATGGATCTTCTCATCAAAAATTGTGGTTTCCATGACAACCATGAGTGTCAGACCATTGAAACTTTACATACTACCTCAGAATGATCTCATCAACTCTCAATTAAATTATTATAATGATTGAAGATCAACTGAATTAATTATTCAATGATGATAATGTACCCCCCTGTAATTTTCCTTTTTAGGGTCAAAAACCCCATTTTGACCACTTTCGCCCCGGATACGGCGCGTCAGACATAAATTTTCTGAAGTATCACATAAAAGTACATAAGAAACAAATAATTTCAATTTGTTCAGACACCGGTACATTTTTCGGTGCTAGCTCACATACTATTATGCCCTGCCTTAATACATAACTAAGATTTTCTCGGATAAATGGTGTCTTACAATTGACTAACTGATTCTATTATCAACATCAGGTAATGCATGATCTATCCAATGGATTAACGAAAATACTTGATTCCAATATGGCAAAATAAATTATTCCATGTATGAATTGCATAGTGCATCATTTTGCAGATATTACATAATGCATTCATTGACTCATGGTCAACAAGGTACGGGTAAAACTCCTTTTAGTATTTCACAAAATAATGAAATATAAACAATTTACACATTTCTGAAATGCTGTACCTTTAGTGATTCCTTCGACCTGGAAAGTGATTTGTTATGTTAAAACTTAAAATAATATCTAAACAAATCTGTTTAGTGTATAAAAACAATAAAAGTTAATATGTTTAATATCAAATATTATTAGACATATGAATATAACCTAAAATAAGAAAACTTGTTCTCGTATTCCATTTTAAAATTGGTTGAATGATTTTGGCACAGTAGAAATGATGGTCATGATTAAATATTATATGTAATATGCCCTGATGCTGTAACATCAATGGTCCTTTATAATCAGGTATGACTGAAATACTGGACAAGATCTTATAAGGTTACAGTTTCCATATAACGTATGTTCCATATTACTACCCCAAATCTCCATTGTGTAAGTTTATGAGTCATTATCCCTCATAGTTTATTATGGCAAATGCCTATCCTTGTCTAGAATATGTCATTTTATCAATTTTATAAACAAGTATACAATTACACACCCCCCCCCCTCCCACACCAAAACTCCATTTTCTTTATCAAATCTTTCTACCTCTATCTGTTATGATTCTCTGTCAGGCTTCCCCAATTTTCCATACTGTCAAGTAAACATCTAAATAGGATAGTTCTAGCTATTGCTGTTGTTTTGAAATGTTGACTTTTCTTGGTGAAATATTGTTTCAATTCTGACAGAAGTTTTTAGCCAATATCATTCAATTTATCAATATCCAAACGCAGGGTTTCAGAAAGTATGCATTTTGTTTGTGCCTGTATTTTCATCATGTGTACTTATTAAGACAGCTATATTTAAACGTAAATACATTAAAACATGATACATATAATCTTTTGACAATTTCTTCAGTAAAGTGGCCATTTTGAGAAATGATATATAGCTTGTACCTTTGTTTGATGCTCAACAAGATGTTCGACTGGATTTGCCTTTGTCTAATTCATATATGTACCAAATACGAGAATCAGAATCTTATTCTACAAAACGGGTGTTCATGGAAGTAGCACTAATTATTGCATAATTGCTATAAATCGTGTGATTTGATTGGCTAATTCAGAACCATGTGACTAAAAATACCAGCGTATTTCACAGCTCACTGAATTATTTCCATATTTAAAAGACGTATTGTCCAGCGTATTGCCCGCCTGGGGATTCTGACAACTGCACTTTCAATGATTTTTGCAACATGTATTACCATCGCCCTACGGGCTGCGGGCAATACATATTGCAAAAATCATTGAAAGATGAACAGGTATTGCCCTCCATAGAATGAAATATTTGCTTAACAGTTCTTACTGTTTCGGGCTTAATATCAATTTTGTTATAAACTGAACAAAGCGGCACCTTTAACATGCAGCTAATTCTCCCATCTAACCAAGAGAGCCTCTTTTAATATATCGAAATTTAAAAATTGCCTCTGATTCAATTTGTTCAATCAAATCTAAAATGGTAATACCTTTTTACTGCTTCGAACTTCCTTATATTTTATACCATTGGGGTAGGATGTTTGTCTCTTTCCATTAATGCTTTCACCAGAAACATGGATATCACTAATTTTGATTCATATTTAAAATGGTGTGCATGAATAGACCTGTGTATTTTATACCAAATAGAGACACTTCCCTGGAGAGTTCTAAATCTCTATATGTTAACAGCCTAGTTCCCACATCCCTTGTTGACTTTGCTTCCATATTTCCTGTGAAGCCGTGGAACAGTTCTCTTTTTCTTCACAACTTTCCATTTTAATGTAACTCAATGAATAAGGCCAATTCAAATCACTGGCTTCCCTAGGTCATTTGAATTCCTTGCAATTTTTAAATCAGCAATAAAGAATAATGGGTTAAATTATCAAATAATGAAAAAGTTGCAAATTATGAGATTTGTTATATAGCTTCGAAATCTTGCTGAAGTGTAGTTTAATTATAGGTTAACAGGCTAAATTCTCATTGAGATAATTTTAAAGAATCTTAAACATTGACTTATTGTTTCAGTGGTCCTATTAAAGTTCATGTGTACACAATCTGAACAACATCCAGTTTCAAACACTTCTGATTATCATCAAGTTTCAAACACAATCTGAACATCATCAAATTCAATGCAAATGCAGTTTCACTTTAATCCAACAGAACGAATATGGTAAATCAATAGACTAAGTGACACATGTCAAGTCAATGGTAAATACTTGTATCTAGCCCAACTAGCACAAGTGCTGCCATCTACCGACTAGTATCAATCCATCTATCCATATACATAGCACCTAATGAGGTCACGACTTCAAGTAAAGCTTTTTCCCTTGTCTATGGTAAAAAATAAGTTAAACAGAAAAGTTAGTTTGACACCATTGGTGATGCCCACCTTGTATGGTATAGGGATAAAAGGAAAGTTCATGATAACACTTACATAAAATAATTTAAGTATCTAATAATGATAATGAACATATTACAATGTTACACAATGTTAGTAAATGATAATTAAATGTCAATTATTGTTAGTGTAATATGTATTTTTTGCTTAATGCTGCAACAATTACACAAGTTCCAAAAAGTGCCACGCCCACTTTTCCCTAAAAGTAGTTGTGTGTGACTATATTTGATAGATATTATTGATTTATTGGAGCATTATATCAACTTTTTAGTGCTTTAGTGTGAATATATACATATTTATACAACTTTTGACAAAGTTGCAGCCACAAAATCCAAACAAACTTGCAAATATTTCACTTTGAGGGCTAAGGGACATATTTTGGAGGAGGTCAAATTGAGAAGATTTTGAGATATAAATACTGTTTCCATGGTAACCATATAAGTCAGAGATTGGACATTTCTGGCACTGACTAACCATGGTATGCTCTGCCTACTACAAAACTATGAATATATGACATGCATTAGTATTCTTTTTATCAGGTGGTATTAAAGGACCCCCAAGGTTTTCTTAGGGTGGGGGTATGAATTGGCCTTAGGGCCGTCTGCCACCCCTACATGAAGTCCAACTACCCAGAAAGTGCCTAGCATAATCATACAGACTGTTTGAAATATGTTGGAATGTGTGACCTTCCATGAAAAATGGAAGTTGCAATTATCAGAGTAGTCCACAGTCTATAAGATTGAATAAACTGATAAAGAAACTAGCCGAGGCAAGAGGAGGGAAAACCCAGAGCTAAGGGATAATATACTTAATTCTCTTGCTCACAACCTTCGTTTGTCCGAATTCCAAATACCACATGTCGTTGGGATGTTTTAATCTATGTTAGAATATTCCTTACACAATCTTTCTTTATCTTAATGAGAAATATATATAACCCTCGAAATAACAAGCTTTGATATTGGTTAACACGCCAGAAATTAACTTAATTCAAAATGGCAGCCTCGGTGAAGAGGGGGAAACCCTAGGGCTCAGAGAAGAAATGTGTCTTCAACGTAAATGTGTATTGAGAAGATATCGTGACTGATTGGTCAAATAGACAGACAAATGACGTCATTGATTTGATGGCGGTTTCAAAATTTTGTAAGAACGCTTTGTATTTCATACAGGATTCCTACATTGGAGGATAGGAAGCGTATGCCATATACGGAGGCGTTTATCCTCGAATCGTTAAGGTTCATGTCCCACATTCCATTTGCGATTCCACACGAGACAATGGTGGACGTCACTCTGAACGGATACTATATCCCTAAAGGAACGCAGGTAAATTTAGCTAAGTAGAAACTTTATGAATAACTGTTTTAGAATCGATTCGTAATTTTACATTTCTTCTTTTTTATTTAATTTTCCATTTCATTGAACGACAACCAATTTTAAATATGAACTGAAAAAACATGTCAAAGCCAACAATCTGAACAAACAGGGCAATGTAGCCCCTCCTACAAAGCATACAAACTGTTTCATCCTTCTGTCTTGTGAACCTTTATCTGGGGTCTTTATTGCATCGTTATGAAAGTGTCTGGGACGCTCTAATGCATTAGATTGGGTATATTTTGACGATGTGGACCATCAGATTTGGTCTGGAATAATTTTTTCATTTTAATTCAATTGATTACTTTCATATCTTTTATAATATTACCCTGCACGCAGAGACTAGTTATAAACTGAAGACGAAGCTCTCTTTTAAGAAGTGGAGTCGAACGAATGCAAATGGTGATATAACATATTATATAATATCGTGTCTCTAGACGTCCAATGGGCATATGTTGCGGATTAAACAAGAACAAAACGAAAATCTGTGAAATGCCGAATTTCTGCTTAGAGTGCTCCACTCCAAGCAAGCGGTCACATCTCCGCGTCATTATACGAGTACAATACCCTGCTAAAGTTCGAGAGTAGTGGTGCTATAATAGAAGAAGGACTTTATATAGTATTAAATCCCACTTGGGTAGCAACACAATAGAATTTGCTGTGGTTTATTTTTAAGAATGTATGGTTTTATCAAAAGGAAAGTGCATTATTTTTCTATTGTTTTTAAAGAATGTACACTTGGCAAGCTATCAAAAACAAGTGAGACATAAATGACCATTGACAGTTTTTGATAGTTTTCATTCCCTAAAAACAATATACAAAAATACATGTACCCTTCTCTTGTTACTGTGCATTCTTAAGAATAAAACAATTTATCAATTTTTGTTGCTATCTACATCATTGATCTTATCTTACTTACAAATATTCTACTGTATTCAAATGCAATGTTCTGGACTGGACAGTCACCTGTAGTGCACTGAAGCTAGACTAATTATAGCCCACTCAGTCACTTACATCAACTCACACTCATGAGGTCAATGCAACCAACTTTTTTTGTTGTTACAATTAATTGGCTATATAACTACATGAACAGTCAACACAAAAGAAATAAAATTTTCCAGATTAGATCATTGACCATTTACCTGCAATATACCATTTACCTGTAATAAGAATGTGTGTGATTTAAGTAAGATAAAGCATTCGAATTCGATTTGATAAGAAATAATAACCTCAGGCCTTCGGCCTTCGGTTTATTATTTCTTATAAAATCTCATTCTTATGCTTTATCCAGTACGTACGCGGTTATAGTCCTCGTCATTCAGTTAGGTATGGCCCGATATGTTCGGCATTCATATACTCAATTTATAATAGCCCTTTACTACTATAAGCAACATTATTTGATTTACTGAAGATATGGCCCAATATGTTCGGCATTCATATACTCAATTTATAATAGCCCTTTACTACTCTTGCTTAATAAGCAAAATAATTTGATTAACTGAAGATATGGCCCAATATGTTCGGCATTCATATACTATAATTATAACAACCCTTTACTACTCTTAAGCAACATTATTTGATTTACTGAAGATATGGCCCAATATGTTCGGCATTCATATACTCAATTTATAATAGCCCTTTACTACTCTTGCTTAATAAGCAAAATAATTTGATTTACTGAAGGTATGGCCCGATATGTTCGGCATTCATATACTCAATTTATAATAGCCCTTTACTACTCTTGCTTAATAAGCAAAATAATTTGATTAACTGAAGATATGGCCCAATATGTTCGGCATTCATATACTCAATTTATAATAGCCCTTTACTACTCTTGCTTAATAAGCAAAATAATTTGATTAACTGAAGATATGGCCCAATATGTTCGGCATTCATATACTATAATTATAACAACCCTTTACTACTCTTAAGCAACAGTATTTGATTTACTGAAGGTATGGCCCGATATGTTCGGCATTCATATACTCAATTTATAATAGCCCTTTACTACTCTTAAGCAAAATAATTTGATTAACTGAAGATATGGCCCAATATGTTCGGCCTTCATATACTCTATTTATAATAACCCTTTACAACTCTTAAGAAATAGCATTTGATTTACTGAAGGTATGGACCAATATCCCATAGTTTAGGTCAAATCTGTAGAATAACACGTATTATCCTACACTTAGTGTACTAAATGTATAATAACATTAAAAATAAATTTGATATTTTTTGGCAAAATGAATAACCGGAGGATATCGTGATGATATACTCCGGGCGGAGGATATCGTAACGATATACTCCGGAAAACCCAATATGCGGAGGATATTGTGACGATATACTCCGCTTGTTGATTTCCCGCCAAAATGACTCTATTTGGCATGAAATTCATTTTGCAATGATATTATACATTTAATACACTCCTTGTAAGTGTAGGATAATAAGAACATCCTATGATTTTTTTTCAGAATATCATTTTAATCAACTCGGTGATATTGATATATGAACTCGTTCGCTTTGCTCTCTCGTGCAGATATCACTATCACCTCGTAGATAAAAAAAAAAAGATATTTATAGGATATCCTATGATTTTGAGGAATATCATTTTTATCTACGAGGTGATATTGATATCTGCACGAGAGAGCGAAGCGAATGAGTGTATATATCAATATCACAGAGTAGATTAAAATGATATTCTGAAAAAATCATAGGATGTTCTTATTATCCTACACTTACAAGGAGTGCATGTACTAAATGTATAATATCATTGCAAAATGAATTTCATGCCAAATAGAGTCAATTTGGCGGGAAATCAACAAGCGGAGTAATCGTCACAATATCCTCCGCATATTGGGTTTTCCGGAGTATAACGTCACGATATCCTCCGCCCGGAGTATATCGTCACGATATCCTCCGCCCGGAGTATATCGTCACGATATCCTCCGGATGTTCATTTTGCCAAGAAATATCAACTTTTTTTTTTAATGTTATTATACACTTAGTACACTAAGTGTAGGATAATCCTCAATATCCTATAATTATATATATACTCCCCTCCATAAGTTTGGCAACCTTAGCTCCCCCATTGAACTACGTGTTAAAGCCTCTCTACTTTTGAATTTTTATTTACTTAACCTGCGATGAAAATACTTATACTATTGATTGAAACGTAATTTAACTTTATTTCCAATACCTCCAAATTTTCTCAATTTTTTCCTCAATTACAATAGGTCGAAAATAATTGATGATAAATTTGATGAATTTTTGAAAATTGACATTTCCATGTTAACCAATGGAAAATGGTAGGTTTGCCGCAAGTATTTTTCATCGCAGGTTAAGTAAATAAAAATTCAAAAGTAGAGAGGCTTTAACACGTAGTTCAATGGGGGAGCTAAGGTTGCCAAACTTGGAAAAAGCAATATCTGTGGAATACACTTTTTTCCACGGATTTGAAAACTCCCGCCAATGTGTTACATGAGCTTACTTGGCGATTTCATGACTTCACAAATATGAAAATGATTGATGTTTTGACCATACAGTTCAAATGATAAAATAAAACTGAATTAGTTTTGAAATGCTTTGTAAGTTCATGGATGTATACCAACTACGTCTATGGTTATGTAACGACCCTTGATAACAAGTTGCTACTACAGTCCAGCTGTAGTGGCTTAAGCCTTTATAGCTCAGTCGGTAGAGCATCAGTCTTTGGATTCAAGGGTCCTAGGTTCGATTCCCATGCGGGGCATTGAATTTAGCACACTTTCTTTCAATTTCTTTATCTGGCTTGTTACACTATGCTCGTTATAGTCGTTATTAGTTAGTCATTCCCCTGGGTCGCCCCCGGGTCATTACAGTTAGTTGAACTATGGGATAAATAGAGCATTCCATGATATTTTCATTTTAATCCACTCGTTGATTTCAATAGCCCTTTACTACTCTGAAGCAACGGTTTTTGACTTACTGAAGGTATCGACTTCACTTTAGTTTATAACTAGAATCTGCGCGCACGGTAGGCCTAGGCCTATACCCGGGGGCCTATACCCTATTTATAGCAACTCTTTACTACTCAAGCAACAGTATTTGATTTGCTGAAGGTATGGACCAATTTATACAGCCTGCATCACGACGAGCGGTACTTCAAAAGTAGAGAGGCTTTAACACGTAGTTCAATGGGGTAGCTAAGGTTGCCAAACTTGGAAAAAAGCGATATCTGTGGAATACACTTTTTTCCACGGATTTGAAAACTCCCGCCAATGTGACGTACACTGTTACATGAGCTTACTTGGCGATATCATGACTTCACAAATATGAAAATGATTGATGTTTTGACCATACAGTTCAAATGATAAAATAAAACTGAATGAGTTTTGAAATGCTTTGTAAGTTCATGGATGTATACCAACTACATGTACGTCTATGGTTAGTTGAACTATGGGATAAATAGAACATTCCATGATATTTCCGTGATATCATTTTAATCCACTCGTTGATTTCAATATCCCTTTACTACTCTCAAGCCGCAACATTTTTTGACTTACTGAAGGTATCGACTTCACTTCTTAAAGAAGCTTCGTCTTCAGGAAGTTTATAACTAGAATCTGCGCGCACGGTAGGTGGTAGGCCTAGGCCTACACTGTTGCTCATAAATATGGAATATTAGATTTGGCAGTTCAGAATTCAAAGTTTGGAGTAAGAGAACATTTATTTGGAGTTGGTTCAGACATTTATTTTCTAGGCAAATCATAACCACATATTTCCTCTACAAATCAACATTTTTTAGAGAAAAAATATGCACATTTAAGTTTAGAAAATTACTGCTATTTAAACAGGGGTACACTAAGAATTTTTGCATTTTCAAAACACCCCGATCCAAATCGTCATGTAAAACAGATCAAACAAAATAAACATCTGGTCATGAAGATTGAAGTGTCCTCTATCCAATGATAGCACTAATATGCGTTATGTCCTCTTTGTGCTGCAATCAGAGCATCAACCCTACGGGACCAGCATAGAATGAAACATCTGACCTTTCTAAGTGAAATAAGGCCCCATTCCTCAATCTTGGCAGTGCGTAACGTGTCTAAATTTTGAGGTGGGAGTCCAAGTCACGAATCTCATTACCAAGGTCGTCCCACATTTGCTCTGCATTAGCCTGATTGGCTGACTTTTGTGCCCATGGTAGCTGGTCCACATTGCCTGCCCTGATGTATTCCAACACAATGCCACTAGCATATGCATCAGCATGATCATTCTGCAGTTGAATGTTGCCCCAAAACACTCTGTTTGCATGTGGTACTTGATGGAGGTCCAAAATGTCAAATTACTCTGAAATTATGTTTGGGAATCACCAAGGGGGTGCTACTTCTGTAGTACTGCTCCAAACAACCTCTGTAATACTGCTCCAAACATAAATAGGATCGCCTTCATGGACTGCCACATCAGTAAGTGTCCTTATTGTCTCTTTCCCCTGGTCTACGACAGAAACGAATACAATTATCAACATTGTGGAGACACATCTTATTTCTTCACATGCTGCCATATGACACCAAAGATTAGGTCCAATGTTTTGGTGCTTTCCTGCCCATCGAAGGCACATTTCTTTGTTATGATCAGTCAGCTGTGGTATCTTTAAAGGTCTCGTGGCCTTGCATCCGTTATAAAGAAATCACTGGTTGTCTATAGCTCTGAAACACAGGTTTTAAGGTGGGGCAGACATTCACCTCGTAGACTACTGGTTGACTAATAAGCGATTTTGATGACATAAATGCAGCAGGTCTTTTCTTACATTTTTCTCTAGGGCTACTATTGCTGTGTCCTGGAGTCACATTCCAGTGCCTTTGGTACCACTGCAGCATTTTAGAGAATGTTCCTGACACACCCAAAGGGTCCTGGCAATGGCAGTTTGTTTCATGCCAGAGAGCGCCATCCCTATGACCTGGCATGCTCTTTTTCACTTATTCTATGGGGCATGCCTTCTAAAAACTCTTCCAACTTTAAGTTAACATTTTATAAAATGTGCACAATGATTACAACTAAGATTTGGACACCTCTTTCAAGTTACCAATATCATGAGGTCATGGGGACACCTGAGTGAATATAAGTTTAATCAACCATAAATGTTTAAACTTTTCATACCAATCAGTTTTATATGCAAAACTGATGAAGGAATAAGAACATATTATAAATTTTCATCAAAATGTTATCATTTTGTAGAAATTCCATCGAACAGTTCTTATCTATAAAATATTCCATATTTATGAGCAACAGTGTATACCCGGGGGCCTATACCCTATTTATAGCAACCCTACTCTTTACTACCCAAGCAACAGTATTTGATTTGCTGAAGGTATTGACAAATATGTTCACGGCTCTATATAGCCTATTTATTATAATAACCCTTTACCACTCTCAAGTAACAGTATTCGATTTACTGAAGGTATGGATCAATTTGTTCAGCCTGCATCACGACGAGCGATACTTCCCCGACCCATGGACTTTCAAACCAGACCGATTTTTAGATGATGCAGGAGAATTGATTCCAACGGACCAACGAAAATTGTAAGTAGTCCTGCGTCCTGGATGCGAATATGGATATTTAAAAGCATGTGTCACTAGTAGTCAAGTTTGTACGTTTAATTTTTGCATTGTTTATTTTTTGTTCTGTTTTAGTCTATTTTGCTCTGTTAATGTATACATTTGACAGATGAAGGTGCATATATTGCCCAGGATAAATTGCCTACTGATTTTGGTAAGAGGGTATTCGCTTCCCGTATAACAAATGACTGGTTGTTCCTTTATTAATTCTTATTCTAATTCCCGATTAGCTTTAACAGTCTTCAGTTCAGACACTTATATCGGTCAGGTTGAATTTTTGTAAATCATCATTGAATCAGATGCAACGCGTGTTTAAAATTATAGGTCTTTAAAATAGTTTTTCTTTTAGATTGATGCCATTTGGGGCAGGACGAAGAGTTTGTGTCGGTGAACAAATGGCAAGAGTTCGGATTTTCCTCTTTATGACGACAATGCTTCAACGTTATGAGTTTCTGCCTGAAAAGCCCGGATGTCCGCCAAATTATGACCCGAGGGACGGTGTCATGGGTACTGTTTTGAAAATGAAAGACTACAAGATACGCGTCAAGAAAAGAGACTAGACTATATTGTTCTTGACTATAGACAAGACTATAAACATGAAAAATGATGCCCCCAATGTGTGAACCACATCATCCGTTTGAACACAGTACAGGGTGTGGGAGGCCGGCTACTGATGTAATTGCCTTTGAGCCTAAGCTAAAAATTGAAGGACCAATTAAAAACAAATCAGCAATCGACAATGAGTATAATCGGAAAGCATTGTTGCATTAGTAGACAAAGATATGACAAAACAAAATTCCCTCTCAATTAATCCAAGTGTATGAAAAATTATAACAATAAGATGTGTGAACCGTAATATAACCATTAATTTAATTAAATATATAAAAATTCAAACACAAAGAGGATTTAACACGAAGTTCAATGAAGGAGCTAAGGTTGCCAACTTTTTGAGGGGAGTGTCCTTCCTATGTTCAAACTGGTGTTAACCGAGTTATGTTATTTTTGCGATTTTTATTTGCCTTATCATTCATTGTAGTAAGACGACACATTTATGCATAACAATAAAGGTTTTAAGAAGGATCTTGTTTTCTTTGGAAGAACATATCCAAAACAAACCTAAGATTTATATGTTAGAACATTTCGATTGTAATAATTGCATTTATTCAAAATCATGTAAATGTAATATCAACAAAATTGTTTTTCTGCAAAGTTTGAACATTCTAACAATATACATGTATATATAGATAGGCAAAGGTAAATAAATATGATGCTCTTTTAGATTTATTCTAAAATAAATATCTTACATCAACTATTTTAGATTTATTCGAAGACACCATTTATGAAACATAAACATTTGTACATGCATATGTATGTCAGTATGTACATGTATATTAGTAATAGGCCAAGTAGATATCATATCCTCTCCAATCCTATCAAACTTAATCATAGACGAATGAGCTTTCATCCGCAAATTAATGGAAATAAGCCATGGTTTGAGCTACTAGTATGTGATCTATTTTGAGAGATAGGTGTGTTTTATTGCACATAATTTAGGCAAGATATGAGGTTACAAAAGCCATGTACAAAAACAAATTAATGGAATTAAACACTCTTACTGTATAATGAAGTTAATCTACAGTAAAACTTGTCGTAGGGAACACTCCATCTCTACTTAACATACAAGTTCTTGAATGTTCATATTGAACACCTAGCTGAAGCGAACTCTTTCTGGATGTAAGGTGTTCAGTATACACAGGTTTTACTGTAATCATATACAAACATAATGGACGATACAATAGCTCTAGCACCTGGATTTGAAATCTGTTCATAAAATTGTTCTTACTTTTATACCACATCCAACATATTCTCAGTCTTATTCTGCAGTTATATTGAGTGTCTAAGATTATGAACTAGCTGTTAATTAATTTGAAACTGGATTATACACAATGTATAATAATTCATGTGCCATTCTGTTTTTGATATATATATTCATCTGTAATTCATGTTATCCTGCCATACACCCCAAGCACTGAAGCACCTGTTTCATTCTAAAGGTTGACATATTTGAATACTAGGTTAACAATTTCTGATAGTCACGGAAAAAAGATTTGTATTGAAAGTCAATCGATATACAGATTTGTGATACCTTTGGCTGGATATGGTTTATAATTTGAGCCAATGTTACCAAAATGTGAAAGAATAAACTAAGAAAATTGTAACATATACCATATATATCTCAGTATATTTGTGATACTTCCAATTCTGTCCATAAACAAATACATTCAAGTTTTTATGAGCAATTGTAAAATCAATTTGAGCATGTTTATGATTGAATAAATATAATGAATTAATGATAAGTGAAAACATATATATTTCAGCCCATTGTGAACCTTAAGGTAATTCCAGAATTAATTGTCCAGCTGTATCAGTGTATGGGCCAGATATACTCCAGATCTACTGTATAATCAAGATATAGTTATTTTTGGGACACCTTGTAATGATTTAATAATATAAGTTATTGAATGATTTGAAGTGCAATACAGGATATATTCTGGTCGAGAAATTCCGTATTGGAACGAGACGAAGTCGAGTGCCAATACAGAATATCGAGACAGAATATATCCTGTATTGCACTTCAAATCTTTCAATAACGTTTTTATCGTGTGATCCTCTGTATTGCTACTGAGATCGTCCCCTCCGTACCAATATTTTCTGTATTGCGACGGAGATGATCAACGGGAACAATCTCAGTAGCAATACAGATTGTACAGCACAAGAACTGACCAATCAGAGGGCTTCATTTTACAGATCATACGATAATATAATGTAGCAGTCATTTCAAGGTACCTTTTGTCTTTAGTCAAGGGATAGTGTCCTAATATCAACAGTTTTGAGAAAACTTAGTTTATTTAATTTAATTCTGATTTAATCCCTTATATAGTAAAATCAAAATGTTGATCAACTTACATTACTAGGGCCTTAGTAAAATCAATACCAATGGAATCATTATTAAGCCCCCCCCCCCCCCCTAATAAAATTAACTTCGGACAATTGGGGAATGAACACCATCCCTAAAAAATGTCTGTTGCCATTTCTTACATCTATTGCACAAAAATAAAGGTACACTAGAGTGACAAATTTTTCAACATATGTAAATAATCTGCCTGTTAAGATCCACTTGTAAAGTTAAAATTTTATACAGATACAGTATATGTAAATTTAATATTTAGTCTCAATTCATTGCATAATATTTTCAAAGAATTCAACACATATGCATAAATATATGAACAGTGATATAAATGAACATTCCCATAAAAATTCAATTTGTCCCTTTTACCTATAGATAATCCATATGGAATGTACATAAAATCAAAACAAATCTTGATATTGAGTCTTATATAACAAACAATACTTTCAACAACGAATATATAAAGGCTTAAAGCAAGTGGGGTGAAATTTTCATTATGCAGAGAATATAATGTTAAACAATTATGACTGATGTTTGTATATATTGGGTGAACGAGTACTTCTTCAAATAATACAGTAAATACAAGTACGTCCATATGTCATATTAATTAGCATTGTGAAAGCTCTCGAAAAGTACACCTCAATTGAGTTCATATTGTACCTAAAGGATCTATATCTAAAGAACAGACGTGAAGTTTGTTGTCCAAAAATGTTCTACAAATGAGTCTCCAGGGTCTTGTGATTGCTCAAGCAATTGGTCACAACATGAAAGTATAAAAAATCAGGAAGAATATCAGTAAGATTTCTGTATCATTTTCAGTAACTTTTTGAACAACCCTTGTACAAATCAATTTCAAAGTTGGTTAAAAATCATCAAAGTGGAAATCAGTTAATTGAAATATGTCATCAGATTAAAAAACAGAGAGAGATAACAAATCGAGAGACCCCTAGTGTCAACCTCTCTTAATTCTAGAGCTGGACTGATTCATATGTCATAATAAAATGGCAGTGTATTAGAAAATAAACAACACGTCTGTTCTCTGATCTCAAATAAATAACATCAAAACATTTGACAATTCTTCATTTAACTATCGCCCTAGAGATAATCGTTTAAATGCTTTGAAAGGGCTTCCTATTGGTTTAGGATTAGCGTCACTCCATGTGTCAGGAGCAGGTTCATCCCTTGAAAGAAAAAGTTCGACCTCTATTCCATTTTCCAAAGCAACCCAGCGAGTTATCTTCTTCTTGTCATCATCTGTAAATAAAAAGTTAAATTTTTTAACAATATCTTCTTTAATATATCTTTATCAGTTAAATGTTCAATTTATGTAATATTTGTCATCATGGTAAACCATGACATCTCATTTCTTCTCAGCCCTGATATGATTCAGGTGAAACAAAAAGATGTTATGAGTATCAGAATGGATATTTGTACTTTTAAGATTAATTATCAACTTAACATTACAAGAATTGACAAAATACTTTCTAATCACAAGGCATTAACATTCAAAATGTCACCACCTGCTATTTGTTACAGACACCGAACAACCACCACACACCAACCACAAAAAAGTTGGAGACTATAGCAATATGTCACCACTTCTGATGGTGACATAAAAATATTATATAACAACAAATCGGGATACAGACCTCCAAATAAGAACTTTAAAGTGAAACCCTTTGTTGATACATGTTCTTTTGGAGTATTCTTAATATCTATAATCAGTAAGGCCTCTGTTGAAACACCTCTGCCCTGGTCAACCTGGAATGCATTGTCACATACATGAATCACTTTCCAAGCCCGTAGCCAGGGGGGGGGGGGGGTTCGGGCAAACCCCCCTGACCAAAATTTCTTTCAAAATCATGCATTTTTTCACCATTCTGACTATTTTTTGAGCGATTTTTGGCCAAATTTGCCAAAGTGAACCCCCCTAGAATTTTTTGGAAAAGTGAACCCCCCCTTGAGAATTTCTGGCTACGGGCCTGCTTTCTCCATTTGCCTACTATATCATATTCATACAAAATACCATAAAACCTGCATATCTGAACACCAGTCTCAAATCAGAACATATATCTCTCTCTGTCCCTTTGTTATCTCCCATTGATTCACATATTTAGAAACCTTAAAATGTGAAAACCAGTAGCACTCATGTATTATTTTTAACCTCTTGAATCCCAGGCTCTAAAATCAGTTTGAAACCAGAGAAAGTTTCATTTTCCCCAGCCTTTGACATTTTACAACATACATATACAACGTGTGATGCTCATCTAAGTGAAATTAGTTTTTATTGTGTAAATTGAATGAAAATAGTTCAAATTAAAGTAATTTTAGTGAAAAATTTGTGAAAGATTATCTCTTCAATCGGTTTCAAGGTCATTTCCTAGGTGACAAGAAATCTCATCACTCTGGGAAGTCAGAGGTTAAAATAAAATACTTATTTCTATATCAATTTAGTTTTAAATCATGCTCCTATGACATTCCAAAATTTGAAGTGTTCCTTATCATTTTTAGTAAGACCGTGCGCTATGCTATAGACTGAAAATTCATGGATAGACTTACCTCAAACTCTAGGTTGAAGTTGGGCATGGGGACGGCACGCATATTTTCAGATTTCTCCAGCACTTTTCCCGGAGAAAATCTTGAGCTTTTTCGTTGGCTGGAAGATCGGCTAGAGAAGGAGTAATTGCGACGTTTAGCTTTACTGGAAAAACATACCACATTAGTCACAATAATGCATGCACCATTCATGCATGTGTTACTATGTGCCATCATGCACCATTCATGCATGTGCTACTCTGTATGCATCTTTCATGCATGTGTTACTATGTGCCATGATGCATGCACCATTCATGCATGTGCATGTGTTACTTTACAATGTGCCACGATGCATGCACCATTCATGCAAGTGCTACTCTGCATGCACCATTCATGTATGCGCTACTTTGCATCATTCGTGCATGTGTTACTTTAAAATGTGCCATGATGCATGCACCTTTCATGCATGCGCTACTCTGTATCAATCATTCGTGCATGTGTTACTTTAAAATGTGCCATTCATGCATGTGCTACTCTGAATGAATAATTGGTGCATGTTTACTATGTGCCATGATGCATGCACCATTCATGCATGTGCTAATCTGTATGAATGATTGGTGCATGTTTACTATGCTCCATGATGCATGCACCATTCATGCATGTGCTACTCTGTATGCATCATTCGTGCATGTGTTACTTTAAAATGTGCCATGATGCATGCACCATTCATACATGTGCTACTCTGTATGCATCATTCGTGCATCTGTTACTTTAAAAAGTGCCATGATGCATGCACCATTCATGCATGTGCTACTCTGTATGCATCATTCGTGCATGTGTTACTTTAAAATGTGCCATGATGCATGCACCTTTCATGCATGCGCTACTCTGTATCAATCATTCGTGCATGCGTTACTTTAAAATGTGCCATGATGCATGCACCTTTCATGCATGCGCTACTCTGTATCAATCATTCGTGCATGCATTACTTTAAAATGTGCCATGATGCATGCATCTTTCATGCATGTGTTACTCTGTATGAATGATTGGTGCATGTTTACTATGCACCATGATGCATGCACCATTCATGCATGTGCTACTCTGTATGCACAATTCATGCATGTGCTTCTATGCATGCAAGATCCAAGCGAGGACCACTCATGCTTGTATGAATGTCCAATAAATTAAGAACATCTCTGGAAGAATTGATATTTTGCTTTACTGAAAATACACCATGTGATATCACAATAATGCATGCGCAATTCATGAAGTACTTAATACATGACGATGACAAAACATCAATATGTTGAGATTTCACTTAAAAATTCATTTAATGGGTAAAAGGATTTTAAAAAGTGTTCCACTTTAAAGAGTTCCACTTTCAGAGGTGTTCCACGAGGACTATGGGTTTTCCTTAAAATGGAAATTCCTCTATGGCTCAGTGTGAAATTGTCCCTTTCCCTCGTAATTGTAATAGTTCCTAATTCCCAGCCCATGCAGATTTTATTTTGTCCTATTGCACCTCTAGTAAAGACCATGGGGTTTTAAGTGAAAGTCCATGTTAAGACCATGCATTTTGTCATTCCACAAATCAATTGAAATACATATGGATTGGCATGCTATGACTTTATTAACATTCAATAAAGAAGTGAAGTTTTTCTAAATATCAAATCTTTCTGGTTCTCATATTCTACTGTGTCATCAAAAATTATGTAAAATGCTAATTCAAAGCAGTCTGAATGATGTTACAATAAAAATATCAAGACTTATGGGACAACCCTCATAATTTCTTTAAATTTAATATGTCATGAGTGATTTTTGATTTTATTAATTTCATATTTACTTTATTAAGTGCAGACTTTGTGCCACAACAACAATCTGAATTCTTACAAGCTATTCTTACATCTTAGAACTCAATGTTTCTCCTTACCTATCTAGCCTAACTTTACAGTAAATCTCTCCCTGTATTGTGTCGTAGATTCCCCGTGCCTGGATCACCTTCCCATATACATGGTAGTACTTTTCACTGTTGAGATCATCTGAATTGAAACAAACAGAGACATTCATTGTACAGTCTAGTTAACAACGAAAAGAAATTGCAAAATTTACACTGATTTATCCATACATTTGCATGGGCTCATTACTTTGCTGGATATATTTTCTTGGGGCGGAGAGTTGACTGTATAATTAATAGAAAAGCTATTAGGCATATATATGTATCCCCCAAAAAACAAACATGTAGCATACTATTATTACATGTACATGTATATATTATTCTATCATTAAATACAAAAAGTAAGATTTTTTATCACTTTCCTCACCACATTAATCTATCATTTCTACTTTATGAGTAAAACATACTGTATGTATAACAGTATTATATAATCATACCTGTGAAGTTGCTGTTTATACTGTAAAGAGATGTAAACCTACAATCAATACAAAATTTCTTTTATTAAATAATGTATCGATAAACTGAAAAAAACATACTGTTCCCCTTTTAAAATAATTGTACTATAATTGCAACCAACTACCCGCCATAATCTAGATATTTTTCATTCACTAAATTGAATAAGTTTAAATGATGGACAAAAGCTTGCATAAACTTTAAACTCGATAAGCAGATAATAAAAACAAACAGAAAACTATACTAAAAACAGCAATGCTAAAATACAAAGTTATTCATGTGCACAAATACAGAGACAAATGTGCACAATAAACAATTAATGACATCACATTGGACACCACATTTAACAACCACATTAACAATAGAAACCACATTAAACACCACATTAAAGTTACCTTATACAGGTTGCTCCCAGAGATCCCAATTCAGTGTTGAGTGCAAAAGAAAAGAAAATACTAGTTAACTTAAAATAACAAAAAATCATTTTCCAACATTGGTTTTCAACCCACCTACTATGTTTGTATAAGCGAATGCAACTTTCAGCTGTCAGCTACCGGATTAACCTACTATTTTATGACCAGGTCATTTAAATATGAATGGAATAGTGGCAGATAGTATTCACATTTAAATCAGTTGTCCACAAAAAGTAGGTTAATCAGGTATCCCTGTAGAGACCAATGTTTGGAGAAAGATTGTCAAATATCCCATCGCCATTGAGACCTTTCCAATAAACTCTTCCACCTTTAGGTACATCTAATAAGCTATGATTTATGATGTCATATGCTGTACTTTTTCAAAATAAGCAATATGGCTATTGCTTGGCAAGAATGTTACCTGCAAAACTCATGACATCATAAATGTTTCATTGCTTCTTTGATATATAAAAATGTGGCTCTGGGTTTATATTGGAAATGTCTTTCGCATAAACCAAGAAATGATCAATATCATTTAGTAATTTAGTATAGTCTTGTATCAAGTGCCTGCTACCCCCTCCTATTTTTTCAATTACAGCACACAGAAGTACTAACATGACTGTCATGCCATCTATTGTACATTTTATCACAGCAACACTTAAGCCAATAAACTATATATTCGCTGAACCCTCTCACTTCACCTCACAGTGGGAGTTAATCAGAGGGTTCGGGGGGGGGGGACACAAAAGGCTTGATACATAACTACACAAATTAAAATATATGTAAAAAATAAATTACAAATAAATCAATCTATAGATCTAATCAATCAAAGGTATCGTCACATTAAATAGCAACTATAGAATGAAACTGAATCATAAGTTTCTCAACAATATTTCATAAATAATATGAATGACCTAAAATACTCAAAATATGATTTTTGGCCCAACCAGTCTTGGACTTATGATTCAGAGTTCATTTATTTTCACTAATTGAATTTTCTAATTTCAGATGTGATCAAACTACCCCACCTTACATTTAATGTACATAGGCAACTTACCGGTTAAACATTAATAAAAATATGACATTGTTTTCAAAAGGCCCATGGTTTATTGAATGATTGTTAGCCATTCATAAGGTACTTTCAAGAATGTATTACTCAACAAACAGATTTATACAGCATTTTGGTTGCCTATGCATTTTAATATGTAAGGTACGAGCGTGTGATGACATACAACACACACAGTGTAAGAAAATTCCAGTACCATAGAAAGGAAAGTTTCCTAAAAATTTGAGAAGTTCACCCATGCAATATGCATGTGTATTTTGATAAATTGCAAATCATTTTCATCATTAATTGAAAATGAGAAACATTGCAATCAATGTAAAGCAGTGAAGTGCAAAGTGCAGCCAGATATACCAATAGCTTAGTATTTAGCTTTGAAGATAGATGGCAGCTCTAGCTATATTTAGTTCAAAAACATGGAACATCGAGAGAATCCCCGTGTTAACTAAAAACTCATTAATGAATATGATAGCGAATTCATGACAAACGTCTAAGATAAAGTTTCACAATATTATTACTAAAACAATAAGAATTTTTTAAATTTAACATTGACTCATCATTTTTTAATCTTAGTTAGTTGTTAATTTCATGCACTGTATAATACAATTACATTGTTAGATCTTATAACCTTTGTTTAAAAAAATTAAATACCCCAATAGATGAGTGCTAAAATGATCATGGTTGCGATATGCAAAATGAGACATTTTAGATTGGTTCATTGATATTAGTATCTCAGTCGCAGACAATCATTTTGAAGTCCCCATTAGTATGAAACATGGTATTATTGGGGAATATTATGATTCGTACATAAATAATTAATTTTTATAATGTGTTAAAATTTGTACCATTCCCAGTTAAGTGAATAATATGGAATATGTAAACTCACCATTTTTAAACAACACACGAAGGTGGAGGGACAGTATGATATTCCATGATTTAGGGTTAAATTTTTCCTTTTTATGTATGAACTTTGGATGATGTTCAGGGACTATTTAACTAAACATCTGAAGTATGATTAAAACTTAAATCTGATTGGGTAATAAGTGTTATCCCACCCTAAGTGCTTTATATGATTGTATAATAGCATTGTATAACTGCAATATAAAACCAACACTCATCGTATACAACTCTTGAGAACGATATACAACTCCTGGATAGCGTATACAACTCCTGGGCAGCGTATACAACTCTTCGACTTGATATACAACTGCTGATTTTTTTTATTGATTGAAGATTAGGGTGGGATAATAAGATCATATAATGGTTGATTCTGTATATCGTTATACTCTCGTGAGTATATGATATATTCACTTGTTCCCTTCGGTCACTCGTGAATATATCATATACTCACTTGAGTATAAACACGATATACGGAATCAACCATTATATAACCTCATAGTATACACTATATATTTCCTTTCACCTGTAGATACATCATATAGTCTTAATATACTCGCATAATTTCCCTTATGGGAAATCCCTGATGGATTAATTGAATCATATCAGTATCTTTTTATGTCTATTTAGTTCACAATCATACTCTCATTTTAACAAAATAAATACATTATCGGTGATGGGTTATTAGATTGTTCACCCTGGCTAAATTGTCCACCTCTACCCATTATTGATAAAATAATGATCAAAAATTGATTTGATTAATACAACTGGACTGATAGGGGATCCTCTCTTGTTTCACATTATGAACTTTCATCATTTTTTCCTTTCTTGCTATGGTACCGTTTTTTTATTCCTGAAAATGACCTGCTTCTTAGCGTATCCTCTTTAAGGTTTGCATCGGAAGAGGATCTTGGGAGTTTCTGTGACGGAACTTGGAGGTGCTCGGGCGAAGAAGGTTGAGATGATATCTAAAAATGAAAAAAAAATCATGGATATGTTGTTTGGTGGTATAAACATGATAAATATATATCATCAAAAATGAATTGAAAGTACTGTATTAAAATTTTTTGAATTATAGAAAAAGGAAATACTCTTCATTGTTATTTTAATATTTATCAATTACTTCTAATATTTATCAATTACTTTGAAATATTGCAGGCTCAAGTTGAAATAAAAAATAAAAAAGTAAAATAAAAATATTCAAAAAATTCAGAATTATGATTCTATACTAAATTGTTGCTTTAAAATCCCATTTAGAAATATCAGGTTGAATTTAAATACAAAACACAAAACAGAAAATATATTACAATAACATGAACAGGGGGTAGTGTTTACATTTACCTGATTTAGAACTACATATTTGAAACTCATGCTATATTTTTACAAAAGAAATGAAGAAGACATTTCACAAGGATAAGGTCATGCGTCACAATATTCATCAATTCAATACAGGACAGAATATTTTGAAACAAGTCCAAATTTTCAGAGAATTTTGAGAAAAAGATTCTGAATTCTAATTCTACAAGGAAAATAACTGAAAACTACATGTAATATATTACTGATGTTTTCAAAGAAATAGTGACCTTTTTTGTAGCATTCTTCACATATATATTTGAATACGCTCCTATTTGGAACCAACAGGCTTTATTTATAAACCTTGGTCTTCCTTGCCAGGAGGTGATACCCTAAGATCCACTCTAGCTTTGGGCATGGCCCTTGATGTAATTGCAGTTGCATACATGAATATAGATCACATTTAGAATTGACATCATGCAGACTTAACAACAAAGGAATGTTTCGTAAAATGACCTTTAATTTCTTATGATCTGATCTTAGCCATGGTAACGTATAAGGCAAATCTTCAAAAGTTGATGCAAAATGTGGAGTAACCAAAATTATTGGTTTTTGACGACTTATGACCTGATCAGAGTGCCGCCTATAAGGTTCCTTAGGAACTACCTTATCGTAATCAACAGGGGGCTCTGTTTTTGATCGTCCAATATCTTTCAATGTGGGGTTTACATTTTTGAGAACAGGGCTACCATTGCAGGACTCAGTCTCTTCTTCAATATTGTTGTTAATACTCTTGCGAGAAGTTGGTGGAGTCATCGCCTTTTTCAATTCGGCAAACTAAAATAAAAAAATAAAATATAAAAATAAAAAATTAACATATCCATCAGAGTTGTTCCATCTGACAGAATTAAATTAGTGAACAACTTGCACCTTTTTAATTTAAAGCGCAATTTATTCATTTTCTACATGAACTTTTCAAGATCCAGTTATTTTAAAAATGAAAATTTATATCAAAGTCTAGTAATTGTGTTAGTAATATATCAAAAATCAGAAATATTTCACGGATTATCAATGATGGGAATAAAGCTATTAGCCTATTTAAATGTTAAGTTTTGAAACATTTTAATAATTTATAATTTTTGTCCTTTAATTTCACTAGTTATGTGCCAAGCTTCCTCACTCTCCAGAGAGCTGTGAACAGTTAGCCCCTAATTGTTCATAAATACAACGCAGACTTCTGACTGAACTGGGAATTGAGCCAGGGACCTCTTGCACTGAGAAGCACATATTTAACAATCAGACAATCTTACCACAGCATCCTCTCCTGCTGCATCAATCTCATCTTGGATGACTTTGAAACTCAGTAGAATCTCTCCCTTCTTTGTTTCTTGTAGAGTATGCCATTGTGGGCCATCCTGGTGTAATAAAGACATAAATCATACAGGCGTACAAAGACCGACCACCGACCTCCAAGCACCCAAGCGTGGATTTTGCACCAAAGCGTGGAGATTGGAGATTGTTTGGTCTTTTCTGCACAGCCTATATCATACTATTTTTTTATGTAAGCGTGGTAATGTTTGTGTTTTATTATATTTTCTATTTTATTTGTTACAACCTGTAGAATACTCTAGCAGCTACTTGAGAATCCATCACTTATTTTGGACCCAAGAGAATTTTTAATAACAAATTCATAATATGATCCCACATTTAGCCAAGTTTGATAGCAAGTGAACAATTGCACTTTAATGAAAATTAAGTGAATTTCATGTACTGGTCTTTTTATTTGTTCTGTAGTTATCTTATTACATGCTTCAGGAACGGAAAATCAAACATTGTTAATGTAGTGGGACACCAATATTTCAATATTATGTTATCACAAAATTGCCCCTTTGTGCTGTATTCATTGTCTCTATTTATTTTAATTTCAAACCTTCCTTGAAATGTTGGTCCAAAAATGGCAAAAATCACTTAAAAAGTGCTCAGAATGGTGAAAAACTGCATGATTTTGAAATAAATTTTGGCCAGGGGGGGGGGCTATGTTTTTGTATCAGCTGAATTTAATTGGACATTAAGAAAACCAAATTTCTTATTAAAAGAGTAAACTTTGCAAAGTGCTTCTAAAAGGGTGTCCATACCTTCTTAGATTGCTCCTGTATATCTGCATATGTGAATTTAACACTTCCCATGAAGTCTCTTGTGATCAAAAAGTCCTTGTCCCATACTTTCTGAAATAAAAAAGCAGATTTTTTAAAGTAAATAATTTTGTATCAAAACTTTTTAAATATTACATGATCCCACAGTCTCTGAAATGAAATACCCATATTTTTTAAAGCAAATCATTTCATATCAAAATATGGTATTCATCACGTGATCAAAAAGCACTTGTCCAATAATTAATCTCTGAAAGGAAATAAGCATATTCTTATAAGTAAATCATTTTTAATCAAAACATAGTGTTAATCAACTATCAAGTAAAAAAAAACAAAAAAAACTATCAAGTGGCCATGTTGAAAAATTCTCCTTGAGCAGAGATCCTACACCCATAAGGCATAAGATTTGAACAATTATTATATAATAGTCATTGCGAAACAGAGCCTCTTGTGGTTCCATGTGGCGCAATACCTATTTGTTGACTTATCGGCACTTCCCTTTATATAATTATCAATAAGTATCAAATTAATTATTACTGTCTTACAACTGAGAAGCTCTGTGAGGAGAAATGTGAATAACAACAATCATGTTTTTAGCTATGTCTCAAACATAACAGATAATTAGAACTTTGAATTCCTGTGATTATAATATTGACTTACATGTACATCTTCATCGTATAATTAAGCAGCCATAATAGTATGGAAACATGCAAACCTAATTTGCCAGTCTGGCAACATACCAACCTTTCATACCAATCTGGTATGAAAGAACTGACATGAGTGTTGCACTGAGACAAAATAACCTTTTGTATATAATACATGGACAAACACATTAACAAATCAAAATGATCAATTGAGTCTCAACAAGTGAAACTAGGTCATAGCAACGCCAAAGGGTAGCAAATCCCATCAAACAGTCATGGCTGCCATTTTTACTTCTTTTTCAGTTGTAGCAAAAATCGTAAAATAACACACATAAAAATGGACAGTTTTATATATTGTGCCTAAATTACTGTAAAATTCACACTAAAATGGCTGCCATTTTTAAACGAGCAGCCATTTTTAAAATCAGGTTTCAAGCAGATATTTGAATGAGGATATCGTGAATAAAGAACAACTGGTAAAAGAACTTTTCAGGATAAAGTTACATACTTGAACTAGACTCAGTTGGATAATGAGAGGCTTTTTCTATTAATAAGTTCATGATGATTAACAATATAAGTTGACAATGATGACTTTGAAGTTTAATTTGAACAGGTGCAGAAATAGGTATCAAGTATCCATTCACTAAAATTGTCAATAATATTGCAAAGATTTTTGTTACAAAAAGAATATAATCTGGAAAGTCCAATAACTTCGTTACAAAACGGCAATAATAAAACATACTAGAAAATATTTATGGCCTTAATTAAGCACTTGTATAAAGGACGATTCTCGGTTTGGAGAACGAAGTTCATCAATCTAAATTAGCATTATCCCTGCTTCGGACAAATTTGATTTTTTTACATAATATAGATTTGAATGTCTTCGTTTGAATAGTCATAATTTAATTTGGGTAATATTTCTAGATTTTTCGCAAAAAAATATTCGCGCAGTACACTGATGAACTTCTTTCCCCAAATCGAGACTTGTATTTTATTGAATCGGTCAAATTGAGCGTTATCCCTGCTTCAGACCAATTTGTTATTTTTACATCTTGTAGATTTAAATGTCCTCTTTTGAATATTCATAGTTTAATTTGGGTAATATTTCTATATTTTTCATGAAAAAATTATTAGCCCAGGAGACTGTTCTCCAAACCGAGAATCGTCCTTTAACTTAAAATACAAGTACAATTCCGGTCATCAAATATCTCCCTTAGTTTTTGCGTAAATATGGCTAATTTTATAAATTAAAATGTTTTAAAAACTTGAATTTACTAAATAATTTTTCTCTCATAATACTTGACTTAGATTTCCAAAGATTCATTATCATAATATTTAAGGTATTATCAATCATTTTTTGAGAGATTTTTGACGTAATTTTACATATAAATGTACAATCAAATCCATTTAGTTCTTTAGTATCATTAATTGAAATTTATGAAATATGGCTTTTATTAGACTAGATACGTAGAAATAATCCTGTTTTGCGTCATTATACAAGATTAATGTATCAGTGTGAATTGTCACTTTAATATATCTTCAAAATCAGAGTGTGTCTCTTTAAGAAATTGAATAATGATGTAACTCTACAAGGTAGGTATCAGTTAACATGTATTTAATACATAAGGCATGAAACAAGTTATTACATATTCAGATGTTCTCATGTTGGAGGGAGTATTCGCAATAAGGTATGTTTAAGTTATTCAATTGAATAACATTTATTTTCTATTTTTAACAGTGCAGAAATAAAAAGTTAGGATAAAAGAGTATGACTGAAATAATCAGATAATAAGAGTAACATTGATAGAAATTAATCTGGAAAGATTAATTGAACTTAAGAGAAACTATTTATTGGTCTTAATTTCAAACCCCACATCAGCACTTTTAATAAGGTACAGTTTCTTTGTGTGTCATATCATTATGTGTGATTGTGGGGTTTGTTTGAAAACTTCGTTTATTCTCAACTTTGTCTACATCTTTCAGATTTGCACAAAAAGTCCAATTATGTACCTAGATAATTAGTTGAGGGTAAATCAATTCCCACAATGTATGAGAATTTTGAATATTCAGTGACCTTATTTCTAAAAGAACACAAATATAGGTCACTGAATTTCCCCTTTTTACATGCATATCTACATGCACTTACTAACCCTCAACTAATAACAATCTAGGAATGTTTATGTACTCTTTGTGCAAATCTGAAAAATCAAATCTGTAGACCATGTAAGGAATGAGTTATGTGCTCCTGAAAATAACATGGACTTCAATTTAGGGAGCCATTGAACAGTATACGCAACTACCTAAAAAAGTTGTCAAATGAATATTATTGTAATCCTTTGGACTTTATTCGGAAAAACATATTGTTTTAATGAAAAATTTCACATTTTTTCAGAAAATACTCCTGATCAAAAATATGACTGTTTAAAATGGCTTGCTGTGTATATGGACCATTTCTAAAAGAAAGACAAGTAAAACATATTTCTACAGTTTATAGTTATTTTAAATAGTTCCTCTTTAATTTATGACTATCATTCCAGTTAAAAGCACACGCAGCACATGAGGCTTTCATTACCAACCAGGATACATGACAATTAACTGATATAATCCTAATTGATACAACAGTTATACAACATATATACATGTACATATTGATCAAACAATTAATGGTGGCGCAATCAAGTAGAATAGAATCAAGAACAACAAGTTGAAGAGACCGAAATATGGAGTTGTCGGGATATAACGGAACTGTTATTTCTAAATATAATACAGTTTACGCAGAGAAGAATTTAATTACGCTGATATTCATGTTCCTAATGTTGATCATCGGGACACTCGGGAACTTGTTGGTGCTGATTGTGTACAACTTTAAAACAGCGAAAACAACAGCCAACTGCTTTAGTCAGACTCTCGCTGCCGTTGACTTCTTCAGTTGTCTACTGGTCCATCCCTTTATCATTGACAATTTAATCAACATGTACAACCAGATTGGTGCCATTTGTAAAATATTCACATTTCTGAACTACACAAGTCTCGCTGTGCAAACATTTCTGCTGCTGTCTATAGCTATAGACAGATACTACGCTGTATGTCAACCTCTGATGTCGGTTAGAATACGAAAGAAAAGGATGATTATTTTGATTTCAGTGTCAACCTTTGTAGGAACTGTCATCTGTTTACCAGTGATAGAGATTTATGGAATAAATACCACTGCTACTGTTGTTGGTGATGTGCAATTTCATGGGCGAACATGCAGTACACAACTAAAACACAAAAGCAATGTTCTTGTTTCTATTTACAACTTATGTTTAATGATAGTTGTTTTTGTCACTTTTATAATTATGATGTTTTTGTATGGGAAAATAGCAAGAACTGCCTATTTGAGTTCAAGTCGAATTGGGAATTCTTCTAATATCAGAAATAAAAATCAAACAAAAATATCGTTAAAAAAAGTTACAGCACAGATTCAGACATCACATTGTGATGGAGAGTCGTGTGATGAAGTTGTTGATCACAATTCAAAGCTTAAATTTACAGATGCTATTGACAAAGAGCTATCAGTTCATCTTGGAAATGGTGAAACGTCATCAACACAAGCTAAGGCAGAAACATCTTTAAAAACACATGATGTGATGAAAGCCAATTCAACAACACTTGATGGGTCACAAAACGCTTTAGCAGCAGACAGCAAGATAAAGAACACTTTACCTAAACTTGATGGGTCACAAAACCCTTTATCAGTGCACAGCGAGACACAAAATCCTTTACCAACACTCGATGGGTCACAAAACCCTTTACCAGTACACGGCGAGACACAGAACCCTTTACCTACACTTGATGGGTCACAAAACCCTTTATCAGTGCACAGCGAGACACAAAATCCTTTACCAACACTTGATGGGTCACAAAACCCTTTACCAGTACACGGCGAGACACAGAACCCTTTACCTACACTTGATGGGTCACAAAACCCTTTATCAGTGCACAGCGAGACACAAAATCCTTTACCAACACTTGATGGGTCACAAAATGCTTTAGCAGGACACAGCGAGATAAAGAACACTTTAACAACACTTGATGGGTCACAAAACGCTTTAGCAGGACACAGCGAGATAAAGAACACTTTAACAACACTTGATGGGTCACAAAATGCTTTAGCAGGACACAGCGAGATAAAGAACACTTTAACAACACTTGATGGGTCACAAAATGCTTTAGCAGGACACAGCGAGATAAAGAACACTTTAACAACACTTGATGGGTCACAAAATGCTTTAGCAGGACACAGCGAGATAAAGAACACTTTAACAACACTTGATGGGTCACAAAATGCTTTAGCAGCACACAGTGACATAAAGAACACTTTAACAACACTTGATGGGTCACAAAATGCTTTAGCAGGACACAGCGAGATAAAGAACACTTTAACAACAC